CGCATGGACTAACCCTCTTTTTTTTTTTTTTTTTTTTTAAATAAATAAATAGCTTTTCTTTCACTTCTGCTTCTTTGTGTTTGGGTCTCCTACCAGAGATCTTTGTCCCCAGCTGGAGAGTTACAAAGAGCTCCTCAGGGCCCCGCGCAGCCCTTGGGTTTTCTTGCGGACTTGCAGCGCCCTCTGCTGGTACACCTCGCTGAGTGCCTGCTGGGTGCTAGGCCTGGCAATGCTTTACACATCCTAGAATTCAATCATCATGATGACTTACAGCAGTTAATTTGCTCAAGGCCACTTTAGGAGCAACGATGAAAACCCATATTCCATTTGACCCCGAAGCCTAGAATCCTTTTCACCGTACTCTGCTTGAAAACTTAAATCTTTCATTGTTTCAGGAAGAAACTGGGCCAAGTAGCCACAAGTAATATCCTTGTGGTTCAGCGTTTCTTAACCTTGGCCGCATGTTAGTCACAGATACTTTGATTCCCTCCCTCAAGATTCTGACCTAACTAGCTTTTAAAGGCCTGGGCACCTGTCTCTCCTAAAAGCTTCCCAAATGATTCCAGCTTGCAAGCTGGGGTGGTGGCTCCCAAACTTGAGCCTCCATCAGAACCACCTGGAGGGCCTGTTAGAACCGTTTCTGATTCAGACCTGCAGAGGGACTGGGGAGTTTCTATTTCTGATTCGCAGCTGCTGCTGATACTGCTGGTCGAGGACCACATGGGAGAACCCCCGGCTTCTGAGCTAAGCGTTTACCTAGAGAACAGGAGATACACAGAAGTGACTATGTAGCTACTTAGGGGAGAGCTGGGACAGTTGTCGTAGGCATGTAGCTCCTCGCCACTGTTGGTCTTACCCAGCTGGAGAAGTGAGGGGCAAGCGGTTTGTCCACTTCTCGATATGCGCAGTAAGATCTTGATGGCGGACCCGCTCTGCTCTGGTGCCCGTGCTCCTTGCTCACCAGGCCAATCTGGAAGTAGGCGGCCAACGTCCTAGCCTATATGCTTTCTCCAAACTCAAGTCACACATGGATTTTGTCCAAGCAACCTATGAAACTGGGACCCCAACCTTTTAACTCTGAAAAAAAAAAAAATGAAGGCTCATTTCTAAAGGACTCACCCATGACAGATGTGTACACAAAGCCTTTTGAGTTTTATTTGTTCCTTGGGCTGGAGATTCGTCTTAACATGCATGCATTTTAAAACAGTAACAGGGTCTCGAACTGTTCCGAGCAGACATTAGACAAGCACAAGGGGCTGAAAATTCCTATTTTAAAAAAATGGAGGTCGCAGTGAGGAAACCAAGAAGTCACGGACATATGACGGGTGCTAGTGTATCCCGCTCCCCCACGAAGTCAGTCTAAGCTTCATTCACACTTTTTGATGACAGTAATCTGACCTGATGTTCGGGTGTGCCGAGCAGCTCCGCCCCCCCCGCTAAAGGCTGCTGGTTCACAACTCACGGAACAGCTCTGTGCAGGGGAAGGGGGGTCCTCTGGAAGTTTCCTCTCCTGCCTCCCAAGGATCTCAGCACGACCCACTGGGGACAGCTGAGTCTCCTCTTCCCTTTGGAGGCACTATTCCTCCATGGCATGTCTCTTGAGGGAGGGTGGGCCATGTCCCTGCCCCCTGCAGACAGCTGGTGGATTTGGGGGCAGTTGTTCCAATGGGTTTTCCCTATGATTCCTGTGCTCAGGCTGGACCCACCCTCCCCACATTTCTGTCAAAAGGAATTGAGGTCCCTAGACTCGGGGGAGCCACAGCTCTAAGGCCAGAGCTGTAAAGGCTGCTGAAACACACGGTCCCTTCTGCCCCTAACGCTTGAGTAGCTCAAATGCTAGGGAGTGCTGAAGTTTTTTCCCTCCCAACCTGAATTAGTAAAAAGACAACAGGGGGTGGAGGGGTGGGATTGGCTGCTGAGAAAAGTCCCGGGTCTTTGGTCCACCTCCCCGGGGCAGGTCCTGGCAGACTGAAGAGGGGAACGTCATTAGGGTAGGAGTCTGTAGTCCCCAGGCCTGAGCACGACCAGGGGACCAGTTTGAGGCCTAAAGCACAGGCAAGAGAAAGGAAGAGGAGGAAGGGAGAGGGAAGGAAGAGCTGCCTGTGGTGGAAACTTAGGGGGTGTCACTGAGAACAGCCACAGGGGCGACTCGTGGCACCCGCCACAGACCAGTAACCCCTGAGCTAGATAAGGAGAGACGGAGTGCTGCTTCAGCTGCTCCTGGAACTGCTGGCTTCTGCCCGGGACCCCCAAAACGCAGGGCACAGGGAAGGAGCTTGCACTGGGGGACAAAGACTCAGTGGTTCATTAAAAGGAACAAGGGCCAGAGGCCTTCATCTAGTGGTCTAAGTGGAATTTCCAGAGAACCCTCGCTTGGGCTGGGAGGCCTGGGAAATGGGTTTCTCAGCCGTAGGCTTCAGGACGGGAGAAGCTGTGAGCGGCTAGGTGGTTAGAGTGGGGAACGGAGAGGAACTGCACACGGGCTTCCCCATCCAGGCTCCACTCCAGCAGTCCTGTCCTATTCTTACACCCTTGTTCTTGGGAAACCCCAAACTATTCCGGGGTGCTGGGAGACTGTTGGAGCTTTTCTTCGGGGCTCCAGAGAGGAAGGCTGAGCCTAGTCCCTTGCCCTCGGATGCCTTCTACAGCCCACAGAGGGAACGGTGGGGCTCGGAGAAAGGAATGGGGGCAGACGAAAGCTTGGGGACCAGTTCACTTTCTCCACATTCAGACCACAACCCAAATATACCTGCATCATTACAAAAAGAGAAAGAAAACTGGTATAAACCAAAATAAACAGTTTTTGAACACTTGAATGCCAAAGGAATTAGAGGGCCAAACCCAAGGTTTTGAAGATAGCACAGAGAATGACCTTAAAAACAAAAAACAAAAAAAACCCCACCTCAAATCCACCCAACCACAGCTCAGATTTTTTACCCAAACAACAATACTGTCAGAAAAACAAAAAGAGCATTTGAAACAGAATGCTACTCTCAAAATGTAAACAATATACCAGGAAAAAAAAAAAAAAAAAGAAACCCACGAAAACACAAAAACTCAATGTTAAAGAAGCTAGATACCGGGTAGCTCATCTTTAACTGAAGGATCGTGTTACACTTTTCATACACATGATGGCAACATGATCAGCAGACCCAGCGCAGGAAGCCGCCGGGAGCCCAAGGCTGTGGCCGCAGCAGGGGGAGGGGGGACAGGCCACCAGGCTCTGAAGACGCTGGGCCTCCTGAGGGGCAGATCCAAATTTTCATTCTTGATTAGGAGGTGGGGAAATCAAGTCCAGACATTATTCCTACATAATCTCTTCCTAAGTCTGACTGGTTTTCTCCATGAGCCACTTGGTTCCAAGTTCTTCCCCAAGTCACTTGGTGGTCTCGCCCCTTTGCGGGGCCGGGGCTGTCTGATCTGTCTGCCTCTTCCAGAAAGGTTCCAGCAGTCCCAGTGGGCTCCAAGAATGTGGCCTCCCTTCCTCCCTGACCTGAAAGCTGTGGGTAGGGCCCCGACACGGCACTGGTTCCTGCTCCAGGAGCTGAGCCCGGCCAGGTTTGGAGGGAGCCACAGGAAACCAATCCATTTGTTCCAAATGCTTCCACAGACTCGCTTCGCATGTGCGGGGTTATGTACAAGTTCCATCATATCTCATCCTAAGTCCCCAGTTCCGACCCAGGGCTGCTGCCGTCCTAGCCAGACCAGACTGCTCTGACGGCGTCACAGGAGGACACGTGGCTCGGTCCTGGGTCACTCAGCAGCTGGGCAGAGGCCCTGAAGGACGCTCAGGACGCCACTCCTGAGGAAGGCCAGGGGAGGCAGGTTTGCGAAGGAAAATGCCCCCAAAGCCCGGGGCAGGCGATCCCCAAATCAAGCCTCCAAACTGGATTTCGTGGGTCCCCTACTCAAGTGACCCCGAAATAACCTCAGGCTTGGACGTCGCCCTCCAAGGTGCTGGTGGGGTGCACCCCTGCTGGCCATGACTGTCCAGGCGACAGACCCACAGGCACGGGCCTCAGATCGTCTACACTGCGACCCTGGCGTTTGAAGAGGCTTCTCTGCAGGGAGGGGCCCAGGCAGGCAGAGATGTGGCCCAGCGAGAAGCTCAGCTATGAGGGAGGGTGCCCAGGGCCAAGGTCAGAGGGAAGTAAATGGATGGAGGACACGAGGTCTCATCTGACACCCAGTGGCAACTGGGGGTCCTGCTATCCGTAAAGATGCTTCCTAGTTCCTCTTGACCCAGCGGAAGGCAGGCCTTATGGACAGGATGAGGGAAGGCCAGGGGCCAGGGGCATGGACGATGTTCACGGGGTTCTGTGAGAACCTGCTGTCCGACAGCCCGGCTGCGACCCCCACCCCCAACCATCCCACGAGGATGAACTCACGCCCCTGGGAGATCTCTCCTCATCCAAGATGCCTGGTGCTAATCTGGAGCCTTCCTTCAGGAGGACAGCATTTACATGGAGGAATCCGGTAACATTTCACTTGGATCCGAGGCAAAAAGGAGGAGGACATTGTGCACGATACTCCGTAACATTCAAAAGTTAATCCAGACAAGATCCAATGCAGCAGGGCTGAGGTGTCTGACCTCCTGTCCTCTGGCAACGGAGCATGTGGACCCTTGGCCGGGCCCGTGGGGCGCCCTTTTAACCGAAGGGAACCCAGAGCAGGGCAGGGATGGGGAGGGTGACGGGGTGATGACACACATCATTATAAACACCAAACCTGGAGCAATGAGATCGCAGAGACGGAACCCACAGAAACCCACAAAGTCCTCTCTAGCCCCAAGGTACTGTAAAAGGTTACAAGGGAACAAAAAAGAAACCCCTCTTCGACCTGGGTCAGAAGGGGGTAAAATCAAGGGTGAGCGGAAGGTGAGGTGCACCGCGGGAGCACGTGTCCACGCAGCACCTCCCCTCCCCACCCCCACTGGTCTTTCTGTCCTGGGTGCTGGCTCCTCAACAAAGCCCTCCCCTCTGCTCCCCACCCTCCCCTCTGCTCCCCACCCTCCCATCCAGCCCAAATACGCCCTCTCCCTTTTCCGACCCCGACCCCACATCCGGCTCTCTGGCTCTGGCTGAAGGTAGAAGGTAACTACGTGAGGATGTTGGACATGAACTCGTTGAAGCGTTTGGAGTACTGCTCAGGGTTCACGGTCGAGATCTCGGCCCCCGCCTGTAACACATAGAGGCTGACTCAGGTCCAGGTTGAGCTCCCCGCCCTAACTGGGAGGCTACTGGGAGGCTCCAGCAGGGAGGGGCCTGGGGAATCAGGACCCTCTGGCTTGGAGTGAGAACAACGCTACAGCCCAGCCTGGCAGGCTGCCCGGAGGAACGGGTCCGTCTCAGAGAGGCCGTGGCCTGACTCCTGATTCACAACTCCAAGCCTGCGCCCACTGAAGGAGCAGCAAGGTGGTGGGGAGGTGGTGGAGAGACTCGGAATCTCTGGGCAGGGTCCCTATTTGGAGACAGGAGCTTCAAGTCCAAGGGGAGAAGGGTTCCTCGGGGAGCAGTGCGGGCGCGAACAAAGCCGCTAGCTGCAGTGACACCCAGCAGCCCCGGGGAGAGGAGCCGGCAGACCGGGGGAAATGGACGGGGCGGACCAGCTGGCAGGGAGAGCAGCAGGGGTGCCCAGGGGTGTCCAGGAGTGGGGGGTGTGGGGCAGCAGGGGGGACTCACCCCATGCTTCACTGTCTTGGCGGCATGGGCAGCTTTCTTCTTCGCGTCGTACGGCGTGAGAATATCGATGATGGCCATGAAATAGACCTCCTTCTTGGGGGCACCTGCAGGGGAGGGGGAGCAGGGTAGGAGGAGGAGGGGGTGGGGGAACAACAGAAAGAAGACGGCTTCAGAAGCCTGCAGACCTGAGACCCAGACCCATCCCAAGCGTTCCAGACCTGAGGAGAGGAATGCTACTGCGGCCCTTCTCAGAGCCTTCAGAGCTCTTCTCTTGTTTGTGGACAGTCTTTCTAAGTGTTTAGAACCATGAATCGGGGCCAAACCCAGCCTCAGACATCCAGGACAAGCAGAGAGGGGAAGGAAAGCCTGACAGGGAAGGACCCCAGGGCCCCAGGAGCCAGAGTGACTGGCGGTGGCTCAGGAGGAGAGCCTGCGGGCAGAAAAAGGCCAAAGTCAGCAGTGAACGAGGCAGGGGTCCAGACACCCTGGGAGGCAGCTAAACAACGGGCCTGAAGGGATCGCATGGGGGCCAGGGCTAGGCAGGGCAGACGTGGGCCCCTACTTACTTTCATGGCTTTTCATGGCATAGACGTCAACAGAGGGGTCGAACTCCCCAGGGCCGAAGAAGCGGGGGAAGCTGAGGAGGTTGCCCGGGCTGTCGGGGGGCGTGCCGTAGGAGCAGAGCAGGTTGCCCCCCAGCCCGTCGTTCTCGCACTCCTCGTCCTCGGCCCGCTCCTCCACCTCCATCTCCTCCTGCTCCGCCCGGTCCACATCGTGGATGCCCACCAGTAGGCTGTAGTCCATGATCTTCAGCTGGGCCAGGAACTAGGGAAGGTGCGGAAGGAGAGATGGGAGGAGAGGTTACACTGGGCATCCCTGGGGCTCCTGGAAAGGGGAGAAAAGGCACTTCCTTCAAGTCCATTCTCCAATTCTGAAACACAGGTGAGAACAAGCCATCAGAGTCTCTGCCTTGCGTGGGCTCAGTGTCCGGCGGGGCGGACAGCCACTCCCGAGGGCAAGGAGCTGTGGGATCCCAGGGCAGCAGGGGGAGGGCTCTCCCTGGGGAGAGGAGGTGAGCTCGCCTGACAATGAGGAGCCGTCCGGCAGGCAGGAGCTGCAGGAGGAAAGGCAGCAGGAAGGCCAAGGGAAGAGGCCCATGGGGTCTGGGAATGAGGGAGGCTGTGGCGAGTCTGAGTGAGGAACGGGAGGCTGCAGTACACAGAGGCCCGTGGCCTTCAGGCCATAAATCACACCCACTGGGGGCCCGAGATCCGGTCTAGTAGCCTGGAGCCGGGATATTTTTTTATGATGAAGTGGGAAATAGAACAGAAAATGTGAGAGGTCGTCACGTGAAGTAGGTAGACAGTAGTTCAGTTGTGTGTGTGTGCTAGGCTAGGAGGTAACACGTACTTCTCACTGAGGGCCACAGGCACAGTCCGAAATGCCACTAACTCAGCTTCCTTTACCAGTCAGGATAAGAACAGAGAGAAAAACAAAAAGGAAAGGGAACAGCCCTGAGAAGACCCAAGCAACACTCGAACCTCTTCCCGAAGGTCCGAAGCGGCTGTGGCGCAGTGTTCACACATGCATGAGGGTCAGTGAGCGGGATGATGTCTTGTGATTCCCAGGCTAGGACTCTGTGACTTGAAGAACGAGAAAGTATGGGGCTGATCAGATGGAGCCAGCCAGCCAGAAATCCAGCTCAGCGAATACTGAGGCTGCAGTCACTGGTCAAATCCTCAGTGAAGCGGCCTGCGGCCGCCATGCAACACATGCTAGGCACTCTGCCATGGTCACCGGGAGACTGTCAGACAGACCACGGTGACCAGCACAGCCCCACACACAGGCCCCTGGGGTTCTAAAAGCACAAGCAGCCCTGATGGGAGAAGATCTGCAGCCTCTCCTCTAGAGAGAAAGTTGGGGAGCACCATGCCAAGCACCTCCAGATGAGCCCCTCTCAAGGTCCAAGGAGAGGGGCCTGAGGTCCCAGAAGAGAGAAAGGCTATGACCCACACCCGCTCCTATCCACCTGAGAACACTCAGGAAGCAACAGGCAAGGGAAAACAAATGAAATGTGTAAACTGCCTTAACTTCCTCTCAGGAGTGTAGGGAGAAAGGGAGGACAGGGAGGAGAAAGACTCTGAACAAACTGAGAGGCAGAATAAAGGCACAGACAGAGCAGGCGGTGACGAAGGAAAAGCTTCCTAGAAAAGAAAGCCGTTCGCAAAACCTACGCACACAGCAGCAACATTCACAGTGAATGGGTCCAAGTGTGACAGTTAAATTTTGGTGCGCATTTGGTCAGATATTATTCTAGGTGCATCTGTGAGGGTGTCTGTAGATGAGATTAACATGTGACTCAGCAAACTAAGTAAAGCAGATTGTTCTCCCCAGTGTGGGTGGGCCTCACCCAATCAGTTGAAGGCCTGCGTAGAAAGAAAAGGGTGACTTCCTGTGAGTGAAAGGGACTCCTCCTGCCTGAGTCCCTTGGAGCTGGAACATTAGTTTTCTCCTGCCTTCAGATACAGACTAAACATTGGCCCGTCCGAGATCTTAAGCCTGCTGGCCTCCAGACCGAAACCACACCGTCTGCTCTCCTGGGTCTCTCCAGCCCACCAATTGCAGCTCTGGGGGACTGTCAGCCTCCATAACTGTGGGGGCCAATTCTTTATACTAAACACGGGGCTGCCTAACTATTTACCCATCCATCCACTGGCACCATCTACTCGTTCTGTTTCTTTAGAAAATCTTACCTATTACACCAGTTCCCCTTTGATGGATGAACGGGTACACATATGATGGAATATTATTCAGCCTTAAAGGGACGGCCATTCTGACAGGTGCTACAACACGCATGAACCTTGCAGACATTACGGTAAGTGCAAAAGCCTGACACAAAAGACAAGTACTGTGTGATTCCACTTACATATAAAGTACTAGAATAGTCCGGTTCACAGAGATGAAAAGTAGCATGGTGCTTGGCAGGGTTTAGGGAGAAGGGGAAGTGGGGAATCAGTGTGTAATGGGGACAGAGGTTCAGTATGGGAAGACAAAAGTTTCTGGAGAGGGATGGCTGGGACAACTGCACAACACAGTGACTGTACTCCATGCCACTGAGCTGTGCATTTAAAAATGGTTAAGATGGTAAATTTTATGTTATGTGTATTTCACCCCAATAAGAATAAATAAGAAAACACTTCTAAAAGTTTGTAGGATTTGGTCTTAATGAACAGGCTCCCAACTTATGGAAACAGGAGATACCGAGTTATCAAGTGGTCAGGTAACACATCCGCTATCTAGCACCTGTCCTCCCCAGAAGAACTTCTCTGCCTCGAGTCCCGCTCCACCAGGAGGCCACTGGGTGAGGGAAGAACTGGAGCCAGAGAAAGGCCTGGTTGGTGGCGCTCACAGCTGGCTTCCCTTTGCTCTGATGACCAACATCCCCACCCCCCAACGATGGGAACACCTCCAGAAAGGAAGTTTAGGGGTGTTTGAAAAAGGCGTTGGAATAGAATAGTGAGGGATCAAGGAAAACGTTCCAACTTGAGCTACAAAGACTACTGTCATGAACATGCTGCCCGTGATGGAACCCTCATTTACACCCACACTGTTCAAATCACCAGCCTTCCTTTCCAGGAGTGTGGAAAGTAGTGAATTCAATTTTTCTTTTCTTTTTTTTAAAGATCTCATTTTTTTTTTTTTAAAGATTTTATTTATTTGACAGAGAGAGAGATCACAAGCAGAGAGAGAGAGAGGGAGGAGGAAGCAGGCTCCCTGCCTAGCAGAGAGCCCGATGTGGGACTCGATCCCAGAACCCTGAGATCAGGACCTGAGCCGAAGGCAGAGGCTTAACCCACTGAGCCACCCAGGCAGCCCCTAAAGATCTCATTTTTAAGTAATCTCTATACCCAACGCAGGGCTTGAACTTACAACCCCCAAGATCAAGAGTCACATGCTCTGCCGTCTGAGTCAGCCAGTCGCCCCATGAATTCAATTTTTCTTAAGGTTAGAGAGGCTCCTGCTCTGGGGACAAGAGGGGGCCCTCCTCAACCAAGGTGAAAATGAGGGTAAGTACCTCTACGTCCCGTTTCAGTTTTTCCAGGAAGTTCTTTTTACTTTCCTCTCCCACATGCAGCTTCTGTCCTTCATTGAGGAAGTCATTGTCTTTGAACGTTGGCAAGTCCTTGGCCTGGGAGAGCAACAGCAGTGTGAGGCCGGGCGGCCGAAGACACTCACCCCATGAGGTAAAAGAGGAAGGGTCCTCAGAGCACAGAGGGGCGGCCTGTCCCATCAACGGGGTCAGCACAAGAGGCCCCAGTCCCAGGCCTCGGGCAGGCAGGGATGGCAACTAGGTGGCAAACGTCAGGCAGAGAGGACAGACCAAAGCAGGTCTTCCTGCTGAGCCTGAACTACCTTGGGGCCCAGGCAGCCACACCCCAAGTGAGGCTGGCCAACGAGACAGAAACCGCCAGGTCTGCAGGACTGTGGACACAAGGCAAAGCTGGAGCTCGAGGCCAAGGCCAGGCGGGTGCCCAGTGACACAGCCCCGACAGAGGGCACGTGTGGGAACCAGGATAGGGGCTGTGATGGAGGAAGGGCCAAGAAGACTGACAGAAGGTATTTCTGATTCCAAGCGACCCAGGCCACACTTGATCAGTACCGGTCCCAGCATACCTTTTCTTTGTCGCTGGCTTCTCTGGCGACAGTGGAGCCCTGCAAGGACAAGAGCCGTCAGGAGAGATCCAGCTGAGGCAAACTCCGCTGGGCGGAAAACATGCACCGGTCTTTGGGGAGAGGCAGCAGGTGAACTGAAGGAGGCTGGTTAGAATCCTAGAGGGGCCAGGAGGCAGCAGCTGTTCACGCCCTCCGCCACAGACCACTGACAGAGCTCTGATTAGGCCCGAGGCTCGCGCTCTGCAAACAGGACTGTACCAAGACTCAGTCCCTACCCTTAGAGACTTCCCTTCCAACAGGGGAGAGCGGCATTAACAAGTGGTTACATGATTAACTAATCCATTAATCACACTGGTGAGAGGTGGAACACGGGAGGACATGCCGAGAGCAGGTGGCACAGGGGTGGGTCTGGGCTAGGGAAGGACAGCGGTCCAGGCTGGCTTCCGGCAGGAAGTGACGTCTGAGCCGAGCAGGAAGAAATCAGGTGGCAGAAGGCAGAGACGGACAAAAGAATAGGGAGGGAAGAGGCCAGGCGGCCGTGAGAGGGGCTGGGGAGGCACAGAGCACAGACCAGGAAGGAATGGAAAGGACAACACTATGGCTGCAGTGGGGAGAGAGACAGGGACATGAGGTGACAAGTCAGGAAGCCGTCTTCGAGAACAGTGGAGCGCTGTGGCTCCCAGGCACAGGCGTGTTCCTTTCCGTGTCTAGAAATGTGCGTGTGCTGTCAGTCCACAGGGCCTGTCTCCTGGCGGCTGCCCTCGGAGAGCACACGCCCCCGACGGGAGCTGAAGAACATCGATGGTGACATAAATAAGGCATGTTAAATAACCTCTTGTCCCTGTCACTTGGACTTCCAACAGCCTCTGACCCAGAGGAACTGGCCACATCAACTCCAGGGTAACCTGCCTGTGCTGAAACCCCTGCTCCCAGGCTTTCCCATTATGAGGAAGCCTGCGGGGGCGGGAGGGGGGGCGCGCCAAAGCGCAGGAGGGCAGAGCCCGTTACCTTGAGGTCGTACTTGCGGTGTACAGTGAGGCGGTGGCTGAACACGTTCCTGGTGACCACCATGTAGGTCTCCACGCCGTCCACGGTCAAGCGGTACATGCCCAGGAACTGTGGCAAGAGCGTGTTGCCGTGACACTCCACTATGAACTAGAGCAAAGGGAGGATGGACGGGCGGCTAAGGAACGATGGAAGGCGCCGGACGGCCAGGGCTCTGCCCAGGCTCTGCCCAGGCTCCACAGCCACTCCCGCCCCCAGCCGGCCCCGCCAAGTGAGAGCTTTGGGTCTCCTGTTCCTGGGCCGCCACTGAAACATCCGTGTGAAACCAGATTCTATTGCCGGAGATAAACTGAGGCAGGCCTGTGAGCGGGCTGCAGGGGAAAGAGGAGCGGCTCCCCCTCTGCCAGTAGTTCTTAGCCATGCGGCACCCCAGAGGTTCCGCTGTAGCCCCGAAGACCAGAAGTCCCTTTCACCACCTCCTGGCGCCCCAGAGAGAAGGCAACATTCCCCGAAGGCCCAGGTACTAGGCCCAGGGCGTGCGGAGAGCCTGCCTGGGAAAGGAAGTGACCCTGCCCAGCCCCCGGGGACCTCTTTTAGAAGAAATGCGGCAGGTGCTACGGGGAGCCACTTCCCCACTCTGACAAGAAACAGCTGTTCCACGGGATCTGAGTGAGTGGGGAACGTGCCTTCACTCTTGCTTTTTCCCTTTTTGCAAGCAGGCATTTCAGCTCCACACCCAGCCCCGGGGGAAGGCCAAGTGCTTGATTCTCAGGAGGCAGGGACCATGGCAAGGGGCCTGATCCCTCCCCAGGAAGCCGCCCAGGGCCTCTGTCCTCCCCCTGCCACCCATCCTCTCCCACCCAGGCTCGGGACTCACCATACCTGGTGGTATTTCTTTAGGATGTTGTGCATCTCGGCCACGTCCTCACTTGACACGGTCTTGATGACAAAGCGTCGGTCGTAGGTGGTGAGGAAGCGCGTGCCACAGCGGCCCTGGCTGTCACTGTTGATGGGGGCACTGCGCGTCACTGAGTTCTGAGGGACGGAGACAAAAGCGGGCTGGTCTTGGGAGAGGAACGAGGGCTCTGACCTTTACTTGGGCCAACCACGCTGGGACAGGCAGGCCCTGACCCTCCCCTGGTGTCATGGGAAGTTCACTTCTCTCCCACAGGACTTCCTGAAGAGTGACAAGAGTTGCTCCTAACCACCTGCTCCTGATCCCTGATCGGAGGGGCAGCGGGCTGGCTGCACCAACACTTCCTTTCCTTCTGACCCCTGAGAATGACCCTGTCCACAAGATCCCTGCCTCAGGGATCCCTGCCCTGACCTGAAGCCCACAGGTAACCTGACCTTGCATGAGCCATTTCACTTCTCCACTCCTGAATTTCCTGACCTGGAACACAAGGAGGCAGTCCAAGATGGTTTTCCCAGTTTCCTGGGGTGACAAAGACAAAGCTTAGGGACTAGTCAAGATGTCCAGCATAAAGCAGCAATGGACAGTAATCTCTTTTTCTTGGACATACCCTGGTCCTGGAAAACCCTTCCCACAGCAGACAGGTGCTGCTCGCCTCTCTGCCCAGCCCCTCTCCCCTCACCTCACACTCCTGCTTGTCTGTGCAGAGCTATGAGGCAGTTCTGGGGAGCTTTTCTGGCTCTGCCACTGCTCCTCCTCGAGGCCCCATTCCCACTGGGCTCAGAGAGCAGTAGAAGCCTCTAGAGGGGGTGGAGGGGGAGGTGTGAGTCAACCAAAGGGATGTGTTCACCAAGCAGACGCCGGGAGAAGACCTTTGAAAGGCAAGGCAGAGAGGAAGCCCCAGCTGTCCCTCTTCCCAAGCAGACACATGTGGGGATCTGCTCGCAGAAAGGCCTCCTCTCTGAGCCCTTCCCTCGGCTCTTACCTAGGGTCGGACACTCTGCCCTCCCCTGGTGCCTCCTCAGGAGACCCTGGGGGAAGGAGGGAGCGCCACCCTCACAGGGAAGACTCAAGTCTGAAGTGGGGAGATGCTCCCTAAAAGGGCACCCCCAGGGATGCCTGGGTGGCTCAGTGGGTTAAGCTGCTGCCTTCGGCTCAGGTCATGATCCCAGGGTCCTTGGATTGAGTCCCACATCCGGCTCCTTGCTCAGCAGGGAGCCTGCCTCTCTCTCAGCCTCTGCCTGCCTCTCTCCCTGCTTGTGCGCTTTCTCTCTCTCTCTTTCTGACAAATAAATAAATCTTTTAAAAAATAAATAAATAAAAATAAAAGGGCACCCCCAAAACAGAGTGTTCCCCTATCCAAAAAGGTCGAGTAGGAGCTATAGCGGAGGGCCTCACTCCCCCAGCCTGGTCCTCCTTCCACAAAGCAGAGCAGGCCCCCAGCCTCGCGGGGAAGCATGCTCCCATCCCTGCCTCGTTTCCAGGCAGCGGGCTCTGGCACTCCACGTGGTCAGAGTCCCCTCCCCGAACACCACACGCCCTGCCTCTTTTAGTCGGGAGCACAGTCACTTGCCCACAAGGTTATTAGAGAAAAAAATGCAGACACGGAGAGGATGTGGTGAGAGCGCGGAGGGAAGGGAAGGAGCCACAGCGGAAGACGGCTGAGCAGCCTCAGGTTGCAACAGTGGCAGGTTATCAGAAAACCTCCAGCTCCAATCAGGTCATGGTTTAGCTCCGGGTTCGGTCCCAACAGAGGGGACTGGAGGCACCTCCCAGTACCTCTCAGGCACAGCTGTTCTTGAGCTTTCCGGCCTCTGCATCCCTGTGCCCTCCTCTTGGTGAGAGCATCTTTGGGGCCTCCCTCCAGAGTGGACGGGAGAGGAGAGGGGTCTCACCCAGGTTCCTCTTGCTCCTCGGGACCTACTCCGTGAAAGGCTTGCTAGGACCCGGCCGGGAGGGGTTATGGTACTGCAGATTTGGATACCCGTCTTAGACCACACTAGGCCGTATGGTCCTTCCCCCGCACCCCCCTCCCCAGACCACAGCAGGTCAGCTGAACTTCTCACTGCTAGCAAGGTGAAGTGGAGAATTCTCCCACCGTCACCAGCAGGCTTTCTGCCAGGGGAAGAAGGTCCACAGAAGGTGCTAGGTGGGGCAGTGACAGAAACCACAGCCTAGGAGTCAGACGGTAATGTCCCCAAGACTGGGTGGGAGGAGCGCTCCAAGCAGGCCAAAGGCCGCATCATCAGCCCTGAGAGGGGGCAGTCGCCGGCTGCACGGGCCCCAGGGGAGGCAGCGTGCATGCCTGCCAAGGTCACACTCCCCTCCAAGTCTTCCTTTTCTACTCTGTCTTATCTGCTTTAAGAGGCCTCATCATCTGCTGGCAACAATTCTCTCTTTTAAGAAGGGTTCCTGGGCCTAGATGGGGAATGTCAGACTGAGATGAGGCAGCTTCCACAGCCCATCCCCCTCCCTCTGCTCTCCCTCCTGGGGAGAGGAGACAGAGCACTTCTGGGCCCCAACCCCTCCAGGAGCCCGATGGTACCAGGGGGAGACCCCCAGGCTAGAGCGGGACAGGACAGGAAGACAGAGCACGAGAACGGGGGACTTCCCTCTCCTTGTCCTGTGGCCTCCAGACCCCACTGCACTCCCTGACCCCTCCGACCACAAAGACACCCCGTACCTGGTAATCCTGATCATCAATCCCAAACCTCTCCCGGAGATTCCGGAACACCATGGGGCAGTACTCCTTGAACTTAAAGCGGCTGGGGAGGTTCTCCCTAGGGCAGAGCGGAGAAATGTCTTTGTGATCCCCGCCCCTCCTCGTCCACCTGATTCTTCATCCGAACTTCTCTGGGTTTGGGCCACAGGTCACCGGGATCGGAACAGTCTGCGGTGCTCAGAATGTAGGTTTCTAGGCCCCAGAAATTCTGGAGAGGAATCTGGAAATCGGTACTTTTAACAAACATTCCTGGTGATGCTGAGTGTGTTGAGTTTTAAATTTTTACATCCCTGTGTTCATTTTGTAAAAAATGAGTCGACCTGTATCCTTAGGATTTGAGTACTTTTTCTGAGTGTATGTTCTCTTCTGACAAAATTTACATGAAAGGGGAAAAACCTCATCTGCTGAGAAGTGAGATGGAGCATGGGCCCCACTGCCCAAGGGCCGAGCTTACACACGGGAGTGGCTGCGTGTGCACAGCTGCTGTGAGGCAGCCGGCAGTCTGACGGCTAAAAGGAGCGCCTTTTCTCAACCAATTTTCTCCTCTGAGGAAGATTCTACCAACATGGCCTGAAGATGGTTACACCCACGAAGCCCCAGGCTTCCCTCCGGATGGAGGACGAGAGCGCTTTGGATTGAAGAGGTCCTCAGTCAGCTGACTGGGATCCCAGCTTTTCCAGAAGCCTGTCTGTGGGCTGCTGGCACCAACTGCCACCCTTCCTGCTCCTTAGTCAGTAAGCCAGACTCCCAGGAGGGGAGAGGATAGCCCTGAAGGGTGGCCTGCTCCAAATCCTCTGTCTTTACAACGGTTCCCTTGCTCAGGGACACCCTCCAGGGACTATACTCCAGGATGACACACTTGGAGGGAATAAACAGCCGCAGCTTCTCCTGAAGGCAGGGGCCTCCTCTGCCTCCCCTTGGCACTGGCACTGTGGTCTAATAATTAGCACATCAACAGCCGTTGGGAGGACAAAAGGAATAAAGAAAGACGGAGAAGAGACAGGATGCTCTGCTTTAGGCCAGGATGTCAAGGTGGAGCCTCACCAGAAGCTGTGAACCCTGGAACAGGTGGTGGTGCGATGTCCCCTCCCAGGGCCCTGAGCCCTGGGACAGAGCCCCCTCCTTTCTTGCCTCAGGCCCAAGGGCTGCCTCTCTTTCCTTGGGGGGTGCGATACTGTGATGTGTTTGGTCTCTGTTCCTGTCTGAGGTACAGAGCAACTAAAACCGAATTTCTGAAGTCATAAGAGCAATAAACATGTCTTTTTTAATTCCTAACAAGCCCCTTTCAACCACATCTGAGTTTATGTGAATAAGGTGACTTTTGGCGGAGGGGAAGGGCGCTTGGGTGGCTCGGTCAGTTAAGCATCCGCCTCTTGATCTCAGCTCAGGTCTTGATCTCAGGGTCATGAGTTCAAACCCTGTGTTGGGCTCCACAATGAGTATGGAACCTACTTTTTAAAAAAAGGTGACTTTTGGAAAGCTTCAAAGGTTCGGTGCTGGTTGGAACATTCAGTCCTACTCCCCTGACTTGCAAGGGAGGGGAGAGGGGCTGGAGGATGAACCCATTACCAATTGCCAATGACCCATCAATCACACCTTCGCAATGAAGGCAGGGCTCTGGGAACTTGCGGACTGCCAACAGGTGCAAGCGTGGGGACGGGAGTGCACCCAGAGAGGGCGTTCCTGAGCTGTAGCCTTTATAATAAACCAGTAAGCAAGTAAATAAACTGTTTTTCCAAGTTCTGTGAGCCGCTGTAGCAAACTAACCAAACCCAAGGGGGAAGGTTGAGGGAATGCGGGACCCACTGCAGGCTGGTCACTGACCCAGGTGACCACCTCAACCTGTGATTGGCATCTGAAGACGTTGGGGGAGGGGGAGCTTTGTGGGGCTGAGCCTGTGGGGCCCAACGCTGAGTCCAGCCACAGTATCGGCTCCCCGCCCAGGACACCCCGCCATCCCACACAACTGCTCCACGTGTGGAAAATCCAGGGAAGTGCGACGTGGTAGCGAGAGGCATGAGAGCAGAGCACAAACCCAGGAGTCTTTCTTCTACAAGGGTGGCTGGCTGCTTAGCTCTGAGGACAGAGGGCTTCTAGAATACGATGTTATTATTACATACTATGGCAGGGAGAGGCCACTAAGGGGTGTTTTCAAACCGAGCTTCCCCTTCAGACTAACAGTTTGAAGTGGTGGGGTGACAGAGCCCAGCTGAAGGGGTGCCGGGGACTATGAGGCCAGGGAAGGTGGCGCCGGGATGCGAGCACAGAAAGGAGGGCGTGCGCAGCATGCGCCCCCCCGGGGTGGCCTGCAGTGGGCTTCCAGAGCAAGGCCTCCCAAGGCCTTAGGGCAGGACCCACCTGCTCCAGGCAAAAGGGCTGCTCCAGCCCAGAGACGCCCTCCAGACACCAGTGTTAGTCCCAGAAGCCACAGTGAACAAAAGTGGGAGGAATTACTTTGGAAGGCGCCCCTGGGCACTGTGCTCAGCCTGTGACCCTGGCCAGGAACATGTCTGGCAGCTTCTTGCCACAGACAAAGATCAAGACAGGGCCACCACTGTCAGCCTCCCACTAGACACCAGCTCGCCGCTCCCTAACCTGGCCCCAGATGAATCACCCTGGGTCGGGCCACACGCCCAGAGGGACCCTGGAGGTAGGCGGATAAAGTAGAATGACAGAATGACACAAAGGGAAGAGGCACATAATGAATGGATCTTCCCAGCCAGTGTGTCTGCCAGGAGAGCCAGGTGTCGCTGTCACACCCTGCCAGGTGCCAGCTTGGCACGGCCACGAGTAGGTTCTCAGAAGCTCTCCGCCTTGAGGGAAAGGGCTGTCCACAGAACCTGAGCCCACTCAGGAGGCCACTTACTTATTGAAGAGATGATTGTCCACCTTGATCTTGCTGTATGCTTTGAAGTCATCTGGCATTAGCATGACAGGCACAGGGACATTGCTCAGCTCATTGATCTGCGAAGCAAGGGAAAAGTGAGAGCTTCTCAGCCGGGAGGCCACCTGCCTCAGAGACACGAGATGCTACAATGCGAACGCCACCATCTCACCAAAAGTATGTCCGTGGATTCCCTCCTTGTCTTTATTTCTGCTCTTCTCTTCAGAGAAGTTCCCAATCTCATCTCCACCTATTATAGAGATTCTCCCCACCTGATAAACTCCGGCTCAAAAGGCACCTACTCCATGAAGCTTTCCATGATTGTCTAGACCATAAATGTTCTCTCTGACCCTGAGATTCCTGAAGTCGTGTTTGTCTCCATCCTTTGGCCATCGCACAGCCTCCCTCACATTGTGGTATTAATGCTTATCAACCTCACAAGCTTGCTAGACTCTAAGTGAGGCCAAGATTGTATTACTTACTGATCCTTGTAAGCCAAGGTCATCTAACTGATCTCTGGAGGCTCCATGGTGCTTGGCCCCATGGTCTGCATATGGCAAGTATTATATAAATATTTGCTAAACGTAGCAGTAAGTGGATCAATGAATAAATATCACACAACCTATGTGGGTACTGAGGCCTTTAACATTTTCCTACCAATTGTGGGTCACTCAAGATGTTGGGCTGGGGTAGGAAAAAAGCTGGATGAGTTTGTGTGGGTGTATAACTCATCTCCAAAGTAAAGGATTAAATTTAAAGTGAGAAGGAGAGGTAGGCATCTGGCCACTGGCTCATTCTTCCCCTCCTGATTAAAACAGGGCCAGCTCCTCAAGCCATGTCCTGCCTTAGGCTGACTGCACGAGATGGGGTAGGGTGCCTTGCCCCACCACAAACAAACCTTCCCATTGGCTTTCATCCCCCTTCGGGGAGCTGGAGGCTGGCAGGGAGCTGGCTTCCCATTGGCACAGAGCTGAGAGCGTGTCTCCTGCCCTTCCCTGTCCCTAGCTTAGCCAATTAGTGGTCTAATTAGCCGCAGATGTCCTCTCCCTTCACAGCGGAGTATTTGACATTTGACCCCTCAACCCAGCGGCCACTAATGCATTCAGGATTTACAGAGGAAACCCTAGGTCTGCCTTAATGGATGGGGGGGGAGGGGACGCACAGCCTTATGTCTCCCGGAGACTTTCCTTGCAAATCCTATTATCTCAATGAGGCCCATGTGGCAGGGAGGGAATAACCGAGACTCACAGGAGCATAAATGGGGGAAAACAGCATTTAATTTGCTGCCCCTTTCATGCTCCAAACTTTTTTTTTTTTTTTTTTTTTAATGTAGAAATGTCAGAGGGTGGAAGAAGTTGGAAGTTAATGCAGGATCTGGGCTGGGGAACCACACTTTCCTAGAACTGGTGAAAAACCTAACTTGCTCCCATGGAAATGAAGGCAGGCACAGGAGTGTAGACGTCTGGGGAGGGGGGCGGCAGGGTATCGGCAGAAGCTGCCAGTGGGGCAGGGACTCAATAAACTGCTGGCAAAAACTGATGGGCACAGACACCAGAGTATATCCTGTATATGAATTCCTCAAAGAGGGATCTCCAGTGAGAGCAATCCGGGAAGAAGCTGCCTAGATTGGCTGGGGGCCATTGATCCACACGAGAGGTACGATTCTGGGGTGACAGAAGTGTTCTATGTATTGTTTGGGGTGACCATTACATGATCATATATACGTGTGTTGAAACTCATCCAACTGGACACTGAAAATCCCCAGCACCCAGGTCTGTGGCAACCACCACACTGGCTTACTGGCCACAGGACAAAAGCCACACCATCTCCCGTTCCAGGGGGTGCTTACAGGGGAACCCGACTGCGAAGTGCGTGCCTGTGGAGGAAACCATTCCACTTCCTGGTTTTCCTGCCAACAGAAACAATTCACAGGAGCTGTCCCGTTTCCATTTTCCTGGCATATCTTGCTTGGCTCGGACAGCTGAAGAAGTTAAGAAGTTCACGGCTCTTGTGTCATTATCCCACTTTGCCAGTTCACACCTCCACACTAGAAAGAACACACCACACTGGCTCGAAGTGCATGGTTTTATACCAGAACGTTCCAGGATGTACTACTCATTGATTCTGCATGAGTCTATAATCCAGATTTGGTGCCAAGGCCAAAGGTACCAAAAGCTGGGATGTCCAGGAAAGACCGAAGCCCTTGCCTGATAGGGTCAGCTTTGCCAGGCCAGGGTGAATTTTTCTAATGGCACCTATTCAAGAATGCCCCATTCTGGTAACTTCTGGTTCAGCCTAGTTCGAATGGTTATAAGATGGCAGGTTTTTAGATCTCCCGTCATCTCTCTTCTTGACTACACAGCCCAACAGCAGGAAATTTCTGAGAGAATTTTTGGTGAACAATCCATATATATATGAACTATGTAGCCTCGCCCCTCCTTTCTACGGGGCCCCATGCAGATGATTCACTCTAAGGATTAGCTGTACTATTTTTTTTTTTAGTTGTGCTAAATTTTATAGCCCCAAAGAGTTTTATTCGATTTTAATTGAACAAGCACTTACTGAGATACCTACCACAGGCTTTAGTTCATGTTAGGGAGGAGGGGGTGCATGGGGGGCGGTGCACACAAGAGGAATAGGAGGCTTATCCTCTTAACGGGAAGATGAGACAAACCCATGACAACAAAGAAACTCAAAGTCAAGTGGTAAACATGTAGTGCGAACACGGGGACAGACACATCCAGAACAGCAGAGGCTCAGGTGGTGAGGTTAACAGAGTCACACAGACTCCTGGCCCTCACACGTCAGGCTAGAAACAGGGCACCTCATGCCTCTCCTGGTATTGCCAAGAGCACTTGACACTGGACGAATCTACAACAAGATCATGTTACACCCCCACTTAAGGCTGCCGTGGCTCAAGTCATCAACCTTGGGGTAAAGTTTTACCTCCTAAGCCTGGCATGGAAGGCCCCTCCTGACCTGGCTCAGGCACAGCCGAACTCTATTCAGTTTACTTCTACTCAGGGTAGTGAGGGCCTTACTCTATACATCCCGGGACGGTGCCAGGGCTGGGGATCCAGAAACAAGAAGACATGGGCTCTGTTCAGCTGGGAAAACGGCAAAAAATACAGTGCAATGAGTGCTATGGAGTTAGAGTACAGGAAGGGGGAAAAACAGATGAAGAAATTGGTGCTGCTGGGGGGTGGGAGTCAGAGAGCCGCTTGCTAGAGGAAGCTGAAGAAAAATAAATATACGTGAGAAAGGCCTAGGATGGTAGTTCTCAAAAAAAAAAAAAAAAAGACATGAAGGGAATCCCAAGCAGTGGGAACAGTCAGAACCAAGCCTCACAGCTGTAAAAGTATACTGCCCAGCTTAAGTACAGTGTGTGGGGGCAGTCTGGGGGGTGGCAGGGCAGGACAGAAGTGCTAGGGGGTGGACGGAGAGGACACAGGAAGAGAGGTGAATGGCCTAGTCTACTATCAATATTAATAAATAAGAGCTGCTTCTCTTTATTGAATACCTAGAAGTGGCTGGGGCTTTCACATTACTATATATATCACAGAGAACACATATTCTGTGCTATTATTTCTAAAGCTTAATTGCCACACAAACTGTTATTAATCTGATTTTGCAAAAGAAGTTTAGGATACCTTGCTCAAGGTCACACAGACAGGATGTGCTGAGTCAGGGTTTGCTCCCGGGTCTGTCTGGTACCCACAGCTTGGCTCTGCATACTCTGCTGTGTGAGCCTTCTTCTGGATAGCTACCTTGACTAAGGAAGTGTTCCCCCTTTCTTGCCTCTCTCCTAATAATCTGCAAGGAAAGTGGTTTTGCTCATTTTATAGAACATGAAAATGAAGTTCCAAAGCTACAAGAAGGGGCAGAGCCTGGATGTGAACTTAGATCTGTCCACTATAAAAATCTAGACTTGACTGCACAAGAAATGGGAAGTGCTCTCAGGTTCAAATCTGGGACCTCACATGATCAAACGGATGCTATAGAAAGGCATCCTGGAATCCAAATCAAGCAAGGATTGGACAAGGCAAAAGAAGAAGCGGTAACCATTTATGCAGCCATTATAATAGCTAAGGTGACAGACTGTGGCAGCAGGGACAGAAGAAAGGATAAAGCTAAGAGAATCCTTCAAGATCTGGCTAAACAACACTTCCTCTGTCACAGCGACCCTGTCTTCCTCTGTGCATCTTTATATCCCAAATAGCACATTCACTGGGGTAACGGTTTGCTCACATTATTTCACTTTTGCACGGGGCTGTGAGCCTCTAGAAAGAAGAGACGATCTTATCCATGCTTATGCCCCTAACACAATGACTGGCACATAGTAGGTGCATAATAAATGTTGGCTAGAGGGACAGATGGCTAGAAAAATGGGACTGAAGTATGGCTAACACCAGAATAAAGAGAAAAGAGACAGCAAAGCTGTTGTGACCATGCCAAAGACTCATGCTCTGAAGGGTGAGAACAAAGGTTAAAGTTGGCTGTGGAGGCTAAGACCTGGCTTTTTTTTTTTTAAAAGATTTTACTTATTTATTTGACAGAGAGAGGGACCACGAGAGCAGGAACACAAGCAGGGGGAGAGGAACAGGGAGAAGCAGGCTCTCCGCTGAGCAGGGAGCCCGACGGTGGGCTCAATCCCAGGACCCAGGGATCATGACCTGAGCCAAAAGCAGGCACTTAGCCGATTGAGCCAACCCAGGTGCCCTAGAAAGAGTCTGAAACAGCAGGGAGAAAGAAGAAACTTTATTTGGTAGACAAAGGGGAGTAACTAAGAGTTTCGAAGCTTGAAAGTTCATGACTAAAGCAATGTTCCAGGAAGACGTGCCTGTCCTCTACTATCTAGCACAATCCTGGGCCAACCCCTCTCCCCTTCAGTACAGTGCCCTTGTGGAATGCATATTCATCCAAGGATCACGTTAAATACAACATATTCGGATGGGAAATCTGTTCGGTTTCACATCACGTAAGTGGTTTTTGGATTATCCACATGATTAATTCCAGGAGCCATCAGCATAAGTAATAAGGAGGCTGACCAAGCTGAGTGAGAAATTTAGGAGCCCCGACT